AGTTGTTCTTTGCACTTTTTCCAAAGTCTCAACATCTTTTTGTAACATGGTGACCCAAACTGGATGCAGTATTCCAGGTGTGGCCTTACTAAGGCTTTTTAAAGTGGTACTAATACCTCATGTGAAGGAAATACTCTCTTTCTCTTTTAAAGAAGATGGAAAATATCAAGATTTTTGCTGAAGTGTTGGTTTCTGCCATTATTTGCTGACTTGGAAAAAAAATGGAGAGCCTGTTTTCTATAGTGAGAATGGAAAGGCAGGATGTTACCTCCTAATCAGACTTGTTAGAAAGTTGTTTTCCACCCTATGGATTGAGAAAATGAGGAGAAAATGGAAGGCTAGTGGTTTTTATTTCAATAGGAGGCATTGAACTCTGTCTCTCTCTCTCCCTCTCCCTCCCTCTCTCCCTCAATCCCTCCCTCTCCCCCTCCCCCCCTCTCTTTTGTCTTGGAATATCTGTTTATTGGTGGCCAAAAGGCAAGATGGCACAAAGTTACTTGAACTAAATGAAGGGAAGGTTTTTCTAGAATCCATAATATCTCCTCCTGCTAGCCAATGGCACAGTGCCTGCAGAAAAGTTTCCTTTGTTTGTTTGTGTTTGCCTTTTGTTTTCTTTCCATGTCTAGCTCTTCGTTGACATTCGATTGACCTTTGAGCGATAATAAAGATTATTGTTACGGCCTCTGACTTTTAAAGCAGATCTCATCCCGTTTCTCTCTGCTCTGAAAATAATTTTGGATTAAATTTGCAATCTCACACAACTGTGTTTACTTTTTTAAAAATATTTTTTTAGGAAGATATGAATTTAAACGAGGATCGAAAAGCTCCGCTAAGAGAAAAAGACTTCAGTATCAAAAAGGAAATGGTGTTGCAGTATACTAGTGCTGCTTCGAGGCAGGTAAGTATGCGCAATGGGGAGACCACAGCATACGCTAGTGAAAGAGACTGATAAAATTTAGAAGAAGAAAAAAATAGAAACAAGATTTAATTTGTCTTAAGTTTTTTGCTGAAGATCCTGATGTTGGGCAAGATGGAATTGAAAAGAAGAAGGGGACAGCAGAGCATGGGATGGTTAGACAGAATCCTCGGTCTAAGCAGTGAACAAGAATTTGGGCAAAGTCCAGGAGACGGTGGAGGATAGGGGGGGGGGGGGGGGGCTGGCATGTGGCATGCTATGATCCATGGGGTCGCGAAGACTCAGACACGACTTAGCAGCTGAATGACAAAAAACCAACGACATTTGCTGAGTTTATTTAGGAGGTCCTGCAAATAAGTTAGGGTAAGTTCTGACATGGCATATGTAATCTTTTTGAAGCATTCGGTATTAATGGCGTTAATCACCCGGTGGTACCATTTTGGAACGTGCGTACATATTTGAGCATGCTTTCAAGGTTGTCCCTAGGATGGGAAGGGATGAAATAGGAATTAGAATAGGAATAAGAATGGAAGGGAACAGAATGGAACAGACGAGAATGTATTGGGATAAGGAATGGAATAGAATAGAATTAGATTAGAATAGAGTAGAATAGAATAGAATGCATTGGGATGAGGGATGGAATGGAATAGAATACAATAGAGAGTATTGAATAGAATAGAATAGAATAGAATAGAATAGAATAGAATAGAATAGAATAGAATAGGGGTAGAGTGTGAATAGAGTAGAGTAGAGTAGAATAGAATTAGATTAGAATAGAGTAGAATAGAATAGAATGCATTGGGATGAGGAATGGAATGGAATAGAATACAATAGAGAGTATAGAATAGAATAGGGGTAGTGTGTGAGTAGAGTAGAGTAGAGTAGAGTAGAGTAGAATAGAATAGAATAGAATAGAATAGGCCAAGTGTGATTAGACACACAAGGAATTTGTCTCTGGTGCATAAGCTCTCAGTGTGCACGCAAAACAACAAAATAATATCATAATAATGATACCAATAAGAGAAGATAGTAGGAAAAGATGAAAAGGATAACACAGCCATACTACACAGGTAAATATCCATAGACATAAGAAAGGGCTCTCTGTTCAGCAGAGTTGATGGCACAAGGGGACAAAAAATGTCTCTAGTTGTTTTTGCATACAGTGCCCTATAGCGATGTCCTGAGGGGAAAAGTTGAAATAAGTTTCACATTTCATCAAAACACATTTCATATTCAGCATAGATCTACACATATGCTTCATAGATCTATGTATTTAGCATGTAATTTTGGAACGAAGAACGAATGTTTGTGACTGGAATGTATGTTTTTTTTTTAAATGCACATGAACATTATATATATATATTCGTTTCATAGCATGTGTGAATATCTTCTTTCAGGGAAGCCTCAAGAACAGAAAGCAGATTTTGCCTCAGGAATTCATATACGAATTAAAATCTGGAACCGTGGATGAAAAACTTGTCAGCTGCCTAGAATCTCTTCGGGTGTCATTAACTAGCAATCCTGTCAGGTAACGCAACTCTTCAGCAAAACTTTGTAAATAAAATAAAAGCTGGCTTCATGAACGTTGTGTTTATACATTGCAGCTGTCGTCTATTCAGTGTTTTATGTAAGTTAAGTTATATAAGCTGTTTTATTTGTAAAAATAATTCATTACTGAGAATCATCACTTGTTTTAATATGGTTCTCACAGGTATTCTATTTTCTCATTTTCTGACCATTTTGAATTTACAAGGGACACAAATCACTTGGACGTGAAGCCGCATATACAGATTGTCCTTGACTTACGACCACGGTTGAACACCAAAGTTCTGTTCCTAAGTGAGCTTTGTCCCATTTTGTGACCTTTCTTGCCACCGTTGTTACGCGAATCCCTGCAGTTGTTACATGAATAACACGGTTGTTAAATGAATTTGGTTTTCCCGTTGACTTTGATCATGTGACGCACACTGAGACTGTCATAAATGTGAGTCAGTTGCCAAACATCTGAATTTTGATCATGTCACCACGGGGGTACTAAAACTGCTGTAAGTGTGAAGAAAGATCATATTGTCACTTTTCTGAGCCATTGTAACTTTGAATGGTCACTAAATTAACTGTCGTAAGTCAGGGACTACCTTTCTAGAATTTAATTTTATTAAAATACATGGTAATTGGCCAAGCCACATAGAGAAAAAATGGGTTAATATATTTCTCTGTGTTCTGGAACTAGATTTTTTTTTTTATCACAAGCCAAGAAAGGTCTCATCGGGAGTTTATTACGGTGCTATTGACGTGCTTCCTCCGGTTGCACATCCATTTCTCCTTGAATTAATCTCCATAACATTATGATCTTGTCAGGGGTCTCTGGCACTAAAATTAGAACTTGATTAAGTCAGTAGATATAGGATTTGTTTCAATGGCAATATCTGGAAAATGTGCTTGCAGAGGTACATGAACACGAACACGACTGATTTACACATCGCCGACAGATTATTATTATTTAAATGAAGAACCTTTTAGTGGGAAGACTAAAAATAGGTTTTTATTAAGGTCCTGGCTTTTCGTATAGCTATGACTTAAGAAGTAACATGTCTACCCATCAAGTATCATGTTTTATATTTAAGTCTTATATTAATATTTGCTGCAAAAGATGCATTGGGGCTTATTTTATGGTTAGGACTTATTTTGGGGAAAATACGCTTCCAAATGCGCCCCTCTGGCCTACAATCTTAACCGGGGCTTATTTTTAGGGCTTATATTACGAGCATACTGAAAACATGCTAGGGCTTATTTTCCAGATGGGTCTTATTTTCACGGAAACAGGATATCTATCCATGGTACTAGTCATATAGATTCCACTTTGCTCACCCAGCTTTCCATCGGATAGAACAGAACAGAACAGAATAACAGAGTTGGAAGGGACTTTTGAGTTCTTCTAGTCCAACCCACTGCTTAGGCAGGAAACCCTATATCGTTTCAGACAAATGGTTATTCAATCTCTTCTTTAAAAACTTCCAGTGTTGGAGCATTCACAACTTCTGGAGGCAAGTTGTTCCACTGATTAATTGTTCTCACTGTCAGGAAAATTTTTCTTTAGTTCTAGGTTGCTTCTCTCCTTGATTAGTTTCCACCTATTGTTTCTTGTCCTGCCCTCAGATGCTTTGGAGAATAGCTTGACTCCCTCTTCTTTGTGGCAGCCCCTGAGATATTGGATCACTGCTCTCATGTCAACCGTAGTCCTTCTTTTCATCAAACTAGACATACCCAATCCAGTAATTGAATCTTCAAGTAGCCTTTTCCAGTCTGAAATTCTTTAGATCTGCTGTATTATTGAATAAGTTGTGCCAATTTCTGGCCCTATATAAAGTAGTTCTAAGGTGAAAGGCATAAACAGTTTGGTGAGGTACTGTAAGGAGCCCCAGGCCGCTCCTGAGTAAAGGAGTGGAACATCTGCCAATTTGAACTGAGGTAACGGAATGTGAGGCAACTGGCAATTGGAACAGAGTTCTGTTCAGGTGGGGAGAGGGAGTAGAACTCCTTAGCATCAGAGGGTGTTAATTGTTGTATAAGAAATACTAATGATCTGATGGTCATTTCGAAAAATCCTTTCTTACCGAGCACCTAGAAGCCAAGAGGAACATACGTGCCAAATTTCAAGTTTGTAGGATTTACAGTTCTGGAGATTTCGTGATGAGTGAGTGGTATTTGGCTTTTATATATATATAGATTATCACAGATATCATATCCATCTCCACGATCCACAATGCCACACTGATTTCCTCTTTCCATAGTTCACTGGAACTAAATGGCACAGTTGGGAATTGAAGAATTGGAGCGCTGAGTATGCATTGTATCTATGTGGCTATTGGCTCAGATCCCTTTATTATCAATGTCAAAAAAATTAATACAGAGATATTTTTGCAGTTGGGTGGAGAACTTCGGACGTGAAGGACTCGGATTATTATTGGACCTCTTGGAAAAACTGGTTGAAACCAAACAGTGAGTCTCCTGACAAGTCTCTAATTCTCAAAAAGAATGGACAGTAACCAACATGATGTAACTTTTTGTGTCTTCTTCCATTCAGACAGGACAAGTTTGTAAAGAAGATACAGCATAAGATAATTCAGTGCTTAAAAGCTTTTATGAATAACAAGGTCGGTACACTCATTTGCTTCATTGTTTGACATTGAAGGCTTACACATACAGGCAGTGCTTGACTTGTTTAGTGACCCCTTTCGAAGTTACGATGACCCTGAAAAAAAGTGACTTATTGCCATTTTTCACATTGCGGCATCTCCGTGGACATAGTGGTCAGAAAGTCCAGTTACTTTGAATGGTCACAAAAGAAATGGTTGCCTATGGAGATTCTCAATCATCCAGGTCATGGTTGTCCCAAAAGTGCTTTTTCAAGAGGCAACTCAATTTTCTGGTTTTTCTTTGAAGATGTTTCATCCAAGGGGCTTCTTCAGTTCTCACTGGATGGTGGGGAATGGAAGGATTTATGCTCCTTGCAGGCAGCTGGTCATTTGCATTATTTTAGCAAGCCGTTAAGGTCACTTGGAGGTTTATCTGTGCCCTCAGTGTCACAGGGTCCTCTGTTGAGAGGAGGCTGTTTAATTTTGACATAGATGAGTTCTTTAAGGGTGACCCTGAGGACACAGATAAACCTCCAAGTGGCCTCAACAACTCTCTAAAAGGTTGCAAATGACCAGCTGTCTGCAAGGAGTGTAAATCCTATTCCCCACCATTCAGTCAGAGCTGAAGAAGCTTCTTGGATGAAAAGCGAAACGTCTTCAAGAGAAAAACAAGGAAGTCCAGTTGCCTCTTTAAAAAGCACATTTGGGAAAGAAATACTTGTAAGTCAAGGATGAGTTAACAGCATAACAGAAGTGAGTTGTAAAAACAGCATACATGCAAGCAAGAGGACAAGGAAGAAAACTTATTAAAAAGGAAAAAGCATTTATGTCAAACTCAAGTTTGACCTCTTGTGGAAGCGCCCTTTGAAACTCTTTACAATTAGGTAGAGCCACGGTGGTGCAGTGGTTAGAGTGCAGTACTGCAGGCCACTTCTGCTGACTATCGGTTGCCTGCAATTTGGTAGTTCAAATCTCACCAGGCTCAAGGTTGACTCAGTCTTCCATCCTTCCGAGGTCAATAAAATGACCCAGATTATTGAGGGCAAGTGGGTGACTCTGTAAACTACTTAGAGAGGGCTGCAAAGCACTAGGAAGCAGTATATGTCCAAGTGCTATTGCTATTGCTATTTCACGTATTTTCTTCATACAGTATATAGGTGAAAACATGGCCACTAACTGTCTGCATATATGCATCTTGTTAACAATCACGTTCTAAAGAATTTTTTTTTATTTCTTGACCCTTTAGTACGGTTTGGAGAGAATAATGAGCGAAGAGAGAAGTTTTTCGTTATTGGCCAAAACGATTGATCCCAAACATATCAACATGATGACTGATGCAGTGAAACTGCTCTCTGCGATATGCATTATTGGGGAGGAAAATATGTGAGTGTAACATTGTGTGGCCAATGAATGTAGAAGGAATTGAAGGAATTGAATCATGCTTTTAATTGGAAACAAATTACGTTAAACAGAAAAGCCTGCAATTTATTGAAAGCACTGGCAGTTCTGAAAGTAACAATAAACATAGCAGTATGAGGAATTATATTCTGATTATCTGTGTAACCTTCAGAAGAGGCTTTGTAAAGATTCTCCACTTCTGATAGGGTTTTGTGAAGGATTCTAAGGGCACAGAAATACCTCTGCCTGCTTTTAGTTTTGGGTTGTCCAGGCTTTAAAGGGTCGATGTCAAAGTAGAGATGATTTATTTATTTGTTGCTTTGTGAGGATTTCCCAGGACCACTGTTCCAGGATGGGAATTTCCTTGCAGCATTTATATAGCCTATGTAGAATGTGAACTCCATTGGGAATGCCTGGTGATTGGAGGTTTCTGGGAAATATTGCTTGATGATTTATTGCAAGCCCCTTGAAATAGGTGGATTTAAGACGTGATGATGAAGTATGCATGTCTGTTTAGTTTAATAATAACCTTCCCTTCTTCCCTCCCTCCCTTTCTTCCTCCTTTCCTCCTTTCCTTTCCTCCATCTCCTTTCGCCCTCCCTCCCTCCCTCCCTTCCATCCATTTCCTTCCTTCCTCCCTTCCTTCTATCCATCTCCTTCCCTCCCTCCCTTCCATCCATCTCCTCCCTCCCTCCTTCCATCCTTCCCTCCCTCCCTCCCTCCTATCTCCTTCCTTCCACCCATCCTTCTTCCGTCTTCCTTCCTTCCTTTCTCCTCCCCTCCCTCCCTCCCTCCCTCCCTCCCACAGCCTGGAGAAAATTTTGAAAGCCCTGACTACAGAAGCAGAAGAGCGAGGTACTCACCGATTTGGCCCCATTCTGAAGGGCCTCGAGGAGAGTTCAGTCCACCTGCAAGTAAGTCCTGCTGTTTTTTTGGTGGTGTTTTAAAACCAATAAATGTAACTAATGCAGTGCGTGTCCTTGAAGTAAAAGAAAATTCCAGGACAATTGTTCAACCTTGGATGCAGCTAGATATGCTTAAACTGACTTGCTCGAACAATTTGGAAATGGTTTGTCCTGTGTCACCTCTGTCATTTATACATTTGCCAGGTTAGAAAAAAAAACCTACAACAATTGCAGAGGTAGTTTCAGTTTCATAATGTCAGTGATCAACCAACTGGCCAACATGGACCAACGAATTGAGATTTAAGCAATTACTCTATCATGATTTGGGAATATCCGTTCTATTCTGTTTTAAATGAAAGGTGTCGTGAATTGCTTTTGCTTTTTCAGCAGAGGAGATATATTCAATCACTTTTTAGACATACCTTTCCTAAACGTACTGGCTTTCTATGCCATCTAGAATAGGGAACCCCAATCCCTGGGCCATGAACGAGCAAAATTTCATTTGTACATGCGCAGGATCTAGGTAGTGCACCAAACCACTCTTCGCACGCGAACACACACACAAACACACACACACACCAACCATCCTGAAAAAATTGTTTTCCACAGAACCAATCTCTGGTGCCTAAAATGTTGGGGGACCACTGACTTCGAAAGACTTAATTCCTCCTGATTAACCTAAAAGAAATATAATAGCCCCACACTTCAATTTTAACCCATACGGTTCTTTTAATTGTAATGCCAGAGACCTCTTCTGTTGTTTTAAACATCACATTTTGTTTTAAAGAAAGAATAATGCATGGAAATCATGGTTATCCAGTATCTGTAAAACTTCCTTAAATCCGTAAGATAAAAATTTGAATATGTTCATTGTCACTTCTAAAGTTTGTCCACGTCTAGATGTGTTGCACAAAGCAAAATGGAAACTTTTAATAATCCCCTGAAATTATACAGCTATTCTCTTTTGAATAACATTATTTTATGTGTAACACTTCCCCAACTACACATAGACGTTTGTTCATGACGTAATAACAATTTCATAATGTTCATAGCAATAAAATAATAAGTTACTGTTGGCTATGCCTGAGGTGTCTGATTTCTCTGGATGTTTCATACTGAGGACGTATTACAAAGACAAAACCATAAAAGCCCATTGGTTAGAATGCAACGTTTGAGGCTAATTCTGCCGACTGCCAGCAGTTCAATCCTGACTGGCTCATGGTTGACTCAGCCTTCCATACTTCTGAAGTCAGTAAAATGAGAACTCGGATTGTTGGGGCAATAGGCTGACTCTGTAAACGGCTTAGAGAGGGCTGTGAAGCGGTATATAAGTCTAAGTGCTTGTGCTGCAAATCATTGAAGGCCAGCTAAGTCCTGAAGATTAAAGTTTTTGCATTTTGTAGACAGCTTGTATGCAGTTCATCAATGCTCTGGTTACAACTCCTGATGATTTGGACTTCAGACTCCACATTCGGAATGAATTTATGCGTTGTGGATTAAAAGAGCGATTGCCGGTAAGTATGTTTACATGTGAATTAATATTTAAATTAGAAAATTGCAATGAGAAGAAGTGTGAAATGCCTTGTAGACTTTTTCATTATCATTATTAAGAGAGAGCAAACTGCCTCCTGTAAAAATTGTTTTGCAAAATACATATTTGAATAGCATAAATCCCCTAAATTATTAGCTTTGGATACATGCGTTTTGTTCAAAATAATTTATTTCCAGACGCAGTTATTAATTACAATACTGTTGATGCTTTCCCACTGCAGCTGCTAAGATGCATAAGGAATGAAGCTTTGGATATCCAGCTGAAGGTGTTCAGTGAACACAAAGAAGAAGATATGATTGAATTTTATCACCGTTTCGATAATATCAGAACAGAATTTGAATATCCTTTAAAATATATATATATATATGGAAATTTGCAATCCATTAAACCAGACTTTGTAGCCAGCGTCCAAACAGTAATGCTGTTTTTTTGATTCTTAGTTGACTCAATTTATACAGTCAGACTAAACTTTGGCAATTCTCGTCTGGTGATAGTTAAAAGTTAGGATCGTGGATATACTGTAAGATTTGCTATGTTGTTCCGAGAAGTTCTGGAGCAAAATCATTTAGTGGCAGATGACTCATTTTGTTGCCAGAAACAGAAATCAGTTTTTCTCACCGGTTGAATTTTTTTAAAAAAAATTGCTGTCAGGATTCCGGCAGTTACCCCAATTAAATCATGAGTCTCGAGCCAAACTTCCAAAACTTCAAAAGGATTTATTGGAAGTTAAAATGTCCGGCACTGCCTGGGTGCACCCGACTCTTGAGACACATCATTCATTGTCACCCTTGACCCTGGTTTTCCCCCACCCACTGGGTGTATCATATTCTCCAATGTATCATATTCTCCAGTGGGACTCATCCATTGCCAAGAGTCATCAATCATGTCCTCCAGTTAGATATTTGCATGGCAGAAACTTCAGTCACCTAGTTACTATCTTTGAAAAACTATTTATGGAATGCACTTTTGATTTCCAAGCTGCCACACTGCTCTTTCAAATCCCCTTCCCCCCCCTCCCTTTCTGTTGCCAACTCTAAAAAGACCATAGAAATATTTTATGAGTTGACATTTACATAATTTCAGCAAAAATCTAAATACGCCTTGAAAAGAAGAACAAATCTATAAATTTACAAACCATTTGAAATAGTTTGTCCTTAATTTGATCACTGATGCCAATGATGTTTTTAATATGGTGTGGAATATTGTTAAGGATACGAGTGCTGAAAACTATTTCCTTTCTATATTACAACACCTCTTGCTAATACGAAATGATAATTTTATACGGTAAGGAAACAATCGTACGGTACAAAAATTTGCTGAAGCTCCTATCTGGATATCTGTTATGAAGGATCAAATGTTATGCAACTTGTTGCAGATTTTATTAAGGTGTCTTAGTTTCATAGAAGACCTTCAAATAAATCTGAACTTAGAAGTATGCAACACCTATCAAGTCAGATGTGGCAGGCCAAGAAGGCCAGCCTAATTTAAGAGAAAATTTCTGATTCTTTAAGAGTTTGACATGTTCTTAAAAAACCTTGCAGTTCCTCAAAGTATACAAATAGATCTTCAGTTGTTACCCGAGTTCAGCGGAGTTGCAAGAAAGATGTGGGTGGCCTATGTATGTGACCTCTGGATTTAACTTTGGTCTTCTTGGCCTCAAAAATGAAATCACGATAGTGGAAAAACATGCCAGATAAAAGCTGCCTTGATAATGCATGATAATGAGCTGAGTTTCCATAATTTGGGTTTGGTATAAATAAATGGTTATGATTAATTTGCTTAATGGGTAATACGATCTTAGCTATGGTTTTGAGGAAGAGATTTTTTGTGGTGGAATCAAGCTGATTTTCTGAAAATAGCCTTTTCTGTTATGCAAATTACACGGGTGGGTACTTTGAATTAAAAAAGTGACTTTTTTTTTGAGTAGGTGTTATAATAGGCGAGTACTGTAAAGTGCTGCAGTTTGATTAGTGACATCTAACTTTACTCTACCTTGAATAAAAATCTTGAAAAATGAGAGGGGTGTGTGTGTCTTTGGGCCAGTTATTCTCTCAATTTACCTTGCAAGATCATTATTATGGAGTAACATTGTAAGAGAATCCTGCCTAGGCCACCTTTTTTTTTTTTTTGGTAAATTTTATTTGAGTTTTCACAAAAAAAAAATACAAATAAAACATCTTTTTTGAAAGTAGCATAATCCCGGGTTACATTTCTTCGTAGACACAAATTCAATTTCATGCTCATTTTTATGTTCTATTCCATATCTTATTACTGTTTTACATTTTCTGCATAGCTTCTCCCCTCTCTTAATTTTCTCAATTTTATTTTAATTATCTTGTCTCAATTCAAATCATTATATTTATATTTTTTGTCTGTCCTGTTTCAATTATCTATTATCTTTTCTCATTAAACAAAGTTTCTCCTGTAGTTACTGATTGGAGTATGAGGCCTTTATATCTTTTAAGTTTATCCATTTAACTCTTATTTAGGCTTCAATATATACCCTAAAGTTATAACATTCAATATAATACATAACTTCCATTCGGATTCTGCTTGGTACATTCTTAAAATACACACTATATTCTTAAAAAAAAAGAAAAACAATAAATATATGTAATTAAAACAACACATTCCATTCCAATGCAATTCTATCATTAATATTAATATTCATTAAAATCTTAACTTCTTTAACATTACTTTTCAATTAAATATCATGCTTCTATGAGAACAATTATAAGCTTTCCATAATTAATTCCCCCCCTTCACTTATATTTTATAAAACATTAACTAATTAAAATGTTCCCATCCCTTCCTAATTCAATTTTCTCATTTATTTTATTTCACTTATTTTATTAACAAACATTTCTCTAAATTACACTATTTTATCCCTCATTTTAATCATACATTGTTTCCAATTTTCTAAAGTTATTTCTATTACTAATATAACATTACAATCTTATGTACCTTTACAGAATCCCTTTTCAGTTAAATTTTCACCCATTATATCTAAATAGGTCCTGTTTCTCTATATCTTGTTCCGGTCCTTTGTAAGTTCTTTTCCTTTCCTTCTTCCCTCTCTTCTCTCTCCTCTTTTTACCCCCTTGTCTCTCTACCTCTATTTCTCTCTTCTGTATTCCCCTCTTCTGTTGCTTTCCAGTATTATACTTATTTTTTGAATTATTTTTCTTTTCTTTGGTTGTTTTTTTAAATCTTAAATTCTCCATTCTCTTTCCCCCCTTTCCTTTTTCTTCCCCACATAGAATTACTTGTTCATTAAAGATGGCTTCTTCTTTGTCCCAGTCTTCTTGTTTTGCAGACGTTTCTTGTTGTTTCTCATAGTTCCAAATCTCCATTTCTAAGAATTGAAAAACGAAGCCAAAAGAACCCCTCCCTTCTTGTGCATCTTCTTTGTACTTTTTAAGTTCCATTTTCAATTCATCCAGAAGTGGTGCCATTGTATAAATTTTTAAACAACCACCCGATTAATTTTAGTCATTCAAATGCAATAACCAAGAATCCAAAGATCACCAAGTAATCCAAATACACGCAAGCTGTATCTTTTTGCTCTTTTTTTCACTTTCTCTTCCTGGGGTTACTATTTAGTTGCAAAGTTTCAGTTAAAATGTATCTTTTAGAAGTCTTGTTGAAGTTTTACTGTAGATTCTTTTTAATTCCAGGCAGTCTCCTCCCTCTTTCCAGATCCTGCCCTTTCATTCTTTTTCTCTCCCTTCCTGCTTAGAAAAAAATTTTTAGTGTCCAGAAATCTTTATTATCTCTTTGACATTTTGTTTTATTTTCAGCTTAATTGACTGTTGATGTCAAAGCGGATTTTTCCGATTTCTTATTTAAGTCTCTTAGTTGTCAGTATAGGGAAAGGGAGAGAAGAAAAAAAACACCAAACCTTTCCCTTTTCACTTTCCTTCGCTGCTTCCGACTCTTCTTTGGGAGCGATGTTATTTTTTTGTAAATTTAAATTCCAGGGTACCTTAGTTGTTGCTTTTGCAATTTAACCCGGTCAGCCAAAACTTTCACTTCTTATCTTCCTCCTGCACATTCTTTTCCGGTCGAGTTCTTCTTTGAGGTGGCCATTTCTGACCACCGCTGCAACCGCCTTCGGGAAAGGGAGTAATGGCCAGCTGAGGAGGAGAGATGTGGCTCTCCTCAACCCTGCTGGCAGTCTCTTCCCTCTTCACCACCTCTACGGGGTGGCTTAGCCACGAAACCAGCTGGCTCGGGGCACTCCAGCGGCGAGCCCGGACCGAAACCGCGCATGATTGCGGATTTCTGTCTGTCGCCGAAGGAACTCAAACCGGAAGCCTCCCTGCCTAGGCCACCTTTTGTTCACAGAGAAAAGGCAGGTGTTGGAAATAAAATCAGGTCTGGTTCCAAGCAGGGAGAAGGACGCTGGAAATAAAATGGAGGCAGGGCACAGGAAAGGAAGTCTCTGTTTATTTGGTACCCAGAAACTGATGACAGCAGCATGTTTCTGAGGTGGCTGAATGGGGTTGAGAGGAGGTGGGTTTTTATACAGTCTTTGGGGCTTTGTTATTGAGATACCTGTTCCTGTATAAGAATATGGCTTTTAATATTTTATATTAAATATATTAAATATGGACAGATTCCTATAGGACAGTGATGGCTAACCTTTTTGGCTCCGAGGGCCCAAAGCTCGTGCGCAGGGTCCCCCACGCATGCAGCCCCCCGTGCATGTGTCCGGCCTCCTGCACATGCACGGACATCCCCCCACATGTGCCCCACTCCCTCATGCACCCTGCCCCCGTGCATGCGCAGCAGAGACCCAAAGTCCATCTGGCTGGCGGTGGGGTGCACTCACATGCATGGCAGACCTGAGCTGGGGCCCCGGCTTGTGTGCCCACAGAGAAGGCTCTGCGTGCCACCTCTGGCATACCTGCCATAGGTTCGCCATCACAGCTAGAGGATCCTCTAAGGGTCATGGTTGGCTCTACAGGCAAGAAGGGATATGCAAATCCCAGGTGTTTTGTTTGTCTGAACTAATCTTGTCAGCTTCATCTCCTTGCCTATTGTGTTGCTTATTTAGGGTTTCTGGCTGTTCTTTGTTTATGAATAGTGGTGGCCCAGCTTTCTGAATGGATGCAAAATATCCATTCCTAAAGACTACCCTGTCCAAGGTCAGGCTGCTTTCTGCTTTTCAGAAGTTGTCTCTTCTGTTCTTCAGGGAAAGTATTCTATCCTGCCTCTTTTTAATATTAACAATAAAAAGTATTTTATTCTGAGGAGCGAGGGGGGCTTCCTACACAGGCTATTTAAATAGCCAGGTTTTTTTGGGTTCTGGGGGAAATCTTTCTAATGCAGCATCCTGTTTTGAACAGTGGCCAACTTGGATGCCTAAGGACATCCAAGGCAAATGTCAATAGAAAGAGTTGCATTGGGTGTAATCCTGTTTCTATTGATGTCCATTTCTATAATCCTTTTACACGGGCATAAGGGAAACTAGTATTTCCCTGCTGTCTCCTACTGAATGGTGTGTTGATTCCATTTGTTAGATTTTTGTAGACACTTCATCAAGAGATAGTGTTGTGGTTTGCCGGCAGCCGGTGCATCCGGCTGTGGAATTGGACAGTGGGGAAGAACAGGGACCAGTCAGGAAGTCTGGAGAGAACTCAGACGAGGGTCCTGCCTCCGATGCAGAGATGGAGCCAGGACCATCTGGGAGTGGGGGGCTGCCTTCGCAGCCTTCAGAGGCTGGCAGCAGCGAGGCAGAGGATACAGGGGAGCCTGTTCCCAGTGCGCGTGTGCACAGGGCTGCTAGAAGGCGAGAGCAGCTGAAACAAAAGGGGCGATTCGGGAGTAAGGCTTGGAGGTGACTGCCCTTCCCATAAGGTATAAAGGTCAGGCCAAGATGATGAAACCTTTGCAGGAAGCAAAGTAGTTCGATCGGTTCAGAGTCCTTCTTGAAGCTCTTCGTACTTCGGTTGGTTTTTTTCTAGTTCATTTGATACTTCTGTTATTGGCAGCACTTCACAGAACTGAAAGGTGTGTGCTTATCTTGGGGGACTGTTTGAGATTAATTCTGGCTGAGAATGAAAATAATTCCCAGTGTTGCCATAAATTAAGTCTTTTTAAAAAAATAAGTTTGTGCATGATTGCAGTTTAGGAAGCCTGGGTCAGAACAGATAGGATGGATCACAAGTTTGCAAACTTCCATCCTGCTTAAGAATGAGTCCCGCTTTCCAAGACGTATTTAGCTATTGTATCAGTTCTCCAGCTAACATTAGCCAGAGTTCAGTCTCAATGAGAACGACGCATTAAAAGCAATATCACCTCAGAAGCGTAAAATTAAAATACATACATTTCTTGTCATTTTTTTAGACCTTTGTATTTCAAGTTAATTGAAGAGTGCGTTTCACAGGTAGTCTTACATCGAAGTGGTCTGGACCCAGATTTTAGTTATCGAAAAAGACTGGATGTAAATTTCAGTCACATACTGGGTAGGTATTCCATGTTCCCTATTTATGCTCATATGAAAGATCACAATTAAAACAAGTGAATTGTTGCCCAGATTTCATAGGGACCGTTATTATCATATGACACATGTGAGATGGTAAGCCATATAAATGTGATAAATGAATGAATAGTTCCCGAAATTAAATTCGGGAAGTGTTCTATAATGATGTAAATTTGTTTTTGCCAGTTGTGTCTGTATGTGTGCGTGTGTATATATCCGTGGTAATAAGCCACAATAAATCTTTTTTTCTTTTTCTGGTTTAGTTGCACACTTGCAATATATGTTTTCGTGATCTTGACACACTTACAAATAGCATTTCCTTGAGTATCTGTCAAAATCAATAATGTAATTGCTAAATATCTCTGATACCTATGAAGAAAATGCTTCCAAATTGTTATTTCTGGCTTGCATCTTCTCTTCCTGAACTCTTATCCCCAAATTCTTGGTGCCAATAGTTTGCTTATATGTTTATAGTCAGTTAAACCCAAAAGTGCTTTTTTTCAGGAGGCAACTGGGCTTTCTTGTTTTTCTTTGAAGACATTTTGCTTCTCATCCAAGAAGCTTCTTCAGCTCTGACAGGACAGTGGGGAATGGAAGGATCCTGTCAGAACTGAAGAAGCTTCTTGGATGAGAAGTGAAATGTCTTCAAAAAGGAAAAAAAATAAAGTCCAGTTGCTTTCTTTAAAAAAGCACCTTTGGGACCTGGAGGACTGAGAATCTGTACAGACTTATAGTCAGTTAAAGTGATCCCAATGCTTTTTAATCTGTTTTATGAAAACATCAGTCATTGCAGTTTGAAGCTAGCAGCATAGCTGTCAGTCATTAATGGAAGCATTTTTTTTAACAATTTGTTTCTACTTAAACAATTATGAGGTATATATGCATGTTTCTTGATACACTATTGTACAATTTTGCTTGTTCTTAAAGTTGGGTTACGAACTGACATAAATTTTACTCTTGCTATTGACTGTTCCCTGAGATTGGTCAGTCAGTAAAAGCTATCCAGAAGATTTATATAGGCTGTTTTCTGCTAGATATCTGTATTGAACAGAAGAAAATGGAAGAACTTGAAGGAAAAGCTTCTGAATTCTTGAAAAAGGTAACTTGAGATAAATTTTCTTCACACACCTCCCAATGTTAATGCCCAAATGTCTTGTAATCTCTTGTAATTGTTATTCTTAAAATAAAACCAATTTTACAAGAGAGAAAATAACAAAAATGGAGATTGGGCTTTTAGCTTTAATTTAAAACCTAGCTTTGTGATCCAAAATGTTGGCCACTTCCCCCCCACCCCTCCCTTTACTAAAACATAACAGCTGGAAAGAAATTTGGTAGTGAAATGTTATTTCTGCTCTGATCCACAGCTGGAGACCATAGTTGCTTTTCAGTTAAAGGATCAAGAGATTGATCAAACTGTTTTAGTGTACTTTCCTAGCCCTTAATTGTTTTACTTCTCATTTATCAGTTACAGTGTTTGTACGTCCTCTTCTTTATCATTCATCTTCCATTTTCTTGGATGCAAAACCAACTGAGACAAATTCCTTGTCTGTCCAATCACACTTGGCTAATAAAGAATTCTGTTCTGTTCTGCTCTGCTCTGCTCTGCTCTACTCCACTCCAATTCATATTCTGTCTGTTGTGTTCTGTTCTACTCTAATTCATTTTCTCTTCTGTTCCATTGTGTTCTGTTCTGTTCTACTCTACTCTATTCTAATTCATATACTATTCTATTCCATCCCACCCCATCCCATCCTTTCCAAGACTAATAAACTGGTGTCGTTTAAAGAAGTGGTGGACAGCATTTAAAATATCAACAATAAGATGAAGGTAGTCTTGAAGCCATGGATTGATTTGTTGAAAAATATCCCAGGATCAAGCGTCTATCTTTACAGGAGCCTGGAACTGATGTAGCAGTTTATCCTGTGCAGACATCAGTAATGGAATTTTAAGAAAAAGATATGAAAATCAATGTACTTGTCAAGAGCAAAGCAGAGACTAATCCATCTCACTCCCTGGTTTTGAAGTATAAAAGTCAGTTAGATATTTCATACCTTCCCGGAGCCACTTAAGATTGCATAATATGCAAATCTGGGTAACATAGCATAAAAATACTCAGGGCAATGAACAATTAAACCTGTAAATTTAATGATGCTCAGTGCCTGCTCATTTCTGTTGCAGTTTGAAAAAGAGTTTGTAGCTCATCAAGAGACAAAGGCACAGCTTCAGAAGACGGAAGAAAAGATCTGTCTCCTTGAAGGCGCAAGAAAACCTGGTAAAAATGAGGTAAAACAGTAATAATTTGCATTTATAAGAGACTGTGCAGTTAAAATAATTAGCAACAAGCGTATGCTGCCCCATTAATATAAAAGCCAATAAAAGACTTCGACTCTGTGCTTTGTCATTTCTGAATAAGGAATACCTGGTACTATTTTTCTGTTCTTTTGGCCTCTACCTTGGTGGGAGAAACTTGTCTTGGAAGTGGTTGTTCTTTTGAGAATGATGTGATGAGGGCAATAACACTTGAAATACAATTGTAGAATAGTAGAAATAGGAGGAAAGGTAACAAGTATTGTTTGGTACACAAAGTTTTATAGGTAAGTAGATAATGGCACATGGTAGTTCAAATATAGCAATGGCTACAAACTTACTCAGTCTTTAAAGGGGACTATTAGAATTTAGTGGCCTATCATCATGGAGGGCACATTTTAAATACCAGCTAGTAAAACCAAGCAAACTGACACACGCCATGAACACATAGCCAGGCCTCAAACTCGGAGCCAAACCAAAACCCGGAACGTCACATCACAGCCACCTGCTCACGATATCACATCACGGAACTCAGGAGGTTACACCACAAAACCTCAGGATGTCACAACACAGCCAACGACCCAGGAGATTACAGCACAAGACCCAGGATGTCAAAATAATAGAACTCAGAAGGTCATCACACAGCCCATTACTCAGGTCGTTACAACACAGGAGGCTGATAGACACACAGCCAATACCTCAGCCACACAGGTTCTTATGAAAAACCCAGCCAATCTGCAAACATCAACTCCATCAACCAATCAAGAGGCAGCAGCGCAGCCAACCAGCCCAGCACACCAGCCCCCACCACCAGTATTTATAGAGAGACGGCAGCTCCGATCACACACTGCTTGCACTGGCACGAAGCCGAAAGCACCAGCCTGAGGATGGCGAGTGGGACCTCAACGAAACGTCACCAAGATACTCTTAATCTTACACGGGAAAAGACCCTAACACACCTAGACCTACCTACCTACCTTTTGGTTCTAGTCTATTCTTGGAAGTAATAAAACTTAAACTTAGTTTATATATATGAAAAGTTATAAAATAAATATGCTTTTCTGTTGCTTTTCAGTGAACCAGACTAAATGGATTAGCCATAAAACTTAAAATAATCATCAGTTTCTTTTAAAAAAACAACAGAAGCAAAGGAAAAAAGATGAAATAGACAGACCTCCTAACCGGGAGGCAAAATAGTTCTTGACTATTCCTGTGGTACAATTTATTTAAGAGATAGATAGATAGATGATAGATAGATAGATAGATAGATAGATAGATAGATAGATAGATGATAGATAGATAGATAGATAGATAGATAGATAGATAGATAGATAGAT